CCATTAAACACTTTGTCTGCGTACGAATAAAAACTCAACCAAGTATTCTGAGAGGGTGTGCAATTGGCATGCGCACTAGCTGGCGCATTGCCAAAGTCGTTGTATTCTGACAAGAAGTTGGCCCCGACCTGCAAAGGGGGGTCACCATATTTGATGTGGTCCGCCAACGGCCATTCCCCGTACTCTACCCAATATGCCAACGTCAGGTACTCATACCGGCTGGTGGAATCCCCAATGTAGATCCGCCGGCCCCCTTGTGGGGCCACCAGGCTGTAGGCCCGTGATTCGCAGTTTCCTGTACCAGTTGTAGTTTGTAGTTTCCAATGTTACAGTTCTGCTTCTTGCTGGTTACTGTAACTAGTTGATTGACCGCGCGAGGGGAGGGAGGCCCAAACCAGATTTTTAGCACCACCTGGGCGCGTTGTCTGAATTGCTGGGGGGGCTCAAAATCGACACCCCTCACGCAGATCCGCGGGGTCAGGGTCCAAAAACACAGGGGATTTGCCACATTTCTGAAATTCGGTGCCACCCCTCACGCAGATCCGCGGGGTCAGGGTCCAAAAACACAGGGGATTTGCCACATTTCTGAAATTCGGTGCCACCCCTCACGCAGATCCGCGGGGTCAGGGTCCAAAAACACAGGGATTTGCCACATTTCTGAAATTCGGTGCCACCCCTCACGCAGATCCGCGGGGTCAGGGTCCAAAAACACATGGGATTTGCCACATTTCTGAAATTCGGTGCCACCCCTCACGCAGATCCGCGGGGTCAGGGTCCAAAAACACAAGGGATTTGCCACATTTCTGAAATTCGGTGCCACCCCTCACGCAGATCCGCGGGGTCAGGGTCCAAAAACAAAGGGGATTTGCCACATTTCTGAAATTCGGTGCCACCCCTCACGCAGATCCGCGGGGTCAGGGTCCAAAACCTGCTCTTCCATGGCCCATTCTCCGAGAGAGGGGGCCGGCGGCAGGAGGCGAAGCCCTTACGGATAATGCGCTTTCCCCTCAATAACGCCCCATGATGATTAATATTGGCTTTGCCGGGGCGTGACAGTGACAAGAGAAGCGCAACAACTTCAGACACCCACAGCCATCGACCGCTGATGCGCCGCATGGCCACGTACAAACAATCTGCTCGAAATCGAAGGCAACTTCTTCAACCAAAGCGCTCCTGAAGAACGTTGCTTGAGCTTGGGTCACAATCGCTACGGACGAAAGCCACAAAAGGTTCTTGGAGCATTCTTCGGCGGGCCTGTAGGCAAGCCAAGACGCCTCGCCACTGCTTGAAGGCCAGCACCAATCCGAGTCGGCCGAAGCTTGGTCGCGCACCTCGGCCGGTCGCACAGCGGCTCGCAGGCCCGGGTCAGCAGAGGGAGGGGAGGGGGGGATCGGAGGGGCGATCGGCTCCACATGGGCGATTTCGGAAACCCTGAACCCAAAAACGTCTTCATCTCTTGGGAGCACATATTTTACTGCCGCCGCCTTCCGCCGAGCTTCCGCCGGCTTCCGGCGGCGGAGGCGGCCTCGTTATAATTCTGCCGACCTTCCGCCGCCATTCCGCCGCCTTCCGCGGCGGAATGGCGGCCTCAAAGACAAGGCCCTGTCTGGAAATCCCCCCCGTGGCGGGTTCCAGAAAACCTGAACCCAAAAATGCTGTCAAATCTTGAGGAGGAGGAGGAGCCTTCTGCCGGCGTCTGCCGGCGGAGCCGCCCTCGCTCTACTTCCGCCAGCTTGCGCCGCCCTTCCGCCGCCTTCCGCCGAGGAACGGATGAGCGACGATCGAAAACGGGTCGTACGCGAGATGGCACAGCGACCTTACGCCGCGGCATACGCGGGCCGCTGACACGGCACGCTGCATTAGAGACGAGGGCGAGCGCTTACGCGCGACCTTACGCGGGCAACTTACGCGCCAACTTCGGCGAAGACGACCCCGTTTTTGCGTCGCTCAGATGGCGAATCCATCGATCCTCGAAGGCAAGGCCCTTCTGGAGCGTCTCACATGGCCCGCTAACCCAGGGCCAGTCGAAGGCGATCAAAAGCGATCCTCCACGACCCCTTCATCTCGTCTCTCTCTCTCTCTCTCTCTATCTCTCTCTCTTTCTTTCTCTCTCTCTCTCTCTCTCTCTCTCTCTCCCCCCCCCGCTCGCTGGCAGTGTCGATCGCTGCACTTCTCGCTTCCCCTCTCCGTCCCTCCCTCGCTCCCTCCCTCCCTCCATACCTTCCTCCTCCCTCTCATCCCTCTCCCCCCTGTATCCACCCTCCATCCCCCCACCCCCCCTCCGTCCCACCCACCCCTCTCCCCACCTCCATTCCCGCCCTGCTCCTTGGGGTGGCCAGGAGAAACCGAGACCGCTGCTACCCGACCTCTGACACGGTGCCCTCTGACCGAGATGTTCGAAACGTGGCCACGGGGGACGGGGCGGCGTGGGCGGCACCCATCGCCCGGAAGAGAGGAGCAGAAGCATGAAACATTGAAAGGCGTTGAGAGCAAGCGGGTCATTCACCCGCCCCGTGAAAAAGGAAAAGACAAGGAAACTATTACGACCGTGGACGGATGAGCCGGAGGAGGAACAAAACACGGCAGAAACATAAGCCGTTGACGGTCCGCGCGGATATCTTGGATCTGAGCTGGAGCCCCCCCCCCCCTGGCGCGCCTCCGGCGCCAGGGGCGGCGCCGGAGGCGCCGCCAGGGGGCGCCAGCGCAGATCCAAGAGAGCGGCGCGGAGCGCCACAGGTTTCTGTGCTTTGTTTTAGGTCCGGCCTATCCTCCTACAGGCGGGTTTTGGAAGAAAGATCATAAATAGTCAAACAAGTTCACAAAACAAATCAAAAATACTCCGTAGCCCCCCCTCCCCCCCCCAAAAAAAAAAACATCAAAGTAGTCAAGAGTAGTGAGAAATCGTCCCCAGAGTATGTTTTGACTGTCTTTGGACATTCCTGATGTAGAGGTACGTGCCCACCGAAGCGTTTCTCTTCGAGGGGCAGAGAGCAGCACGAACATACAGCAGTAGCTCGTAGCTCGACCACGAGAAGACCTCCACAAGAAGCCCAACCCTGAGATCCCGTCCCGTCCTCCTCCTCCTCCTCCTCCTCTCTACTCCTACTCCTCCTCCTCCTCCTCCTCCTCCTCCTCCCCCTCCTACCCTCCTCCTCGTCCTCATCCTCCTCCTCCTCCACCTCCTCCTCCTCCTCTCCCCTCCTCCTCTCTCCTCCTCCTCCTCCTCCTCCTCCTCCTCCTCTCTTCCTCCTCTTCCTCCTCCTCCTCCTCCTCCGCCGCCTCCTCCTCCTCCTCCTCCTCCTTCCCGTCCTCCCCCTCCTCCTCCTCCGCCTCCTCCTCCTCCTCCTCCTCCTCCTCCTCCTCCTCCTCCCCCTCCTCCTCCTCCTCCTCCTCCTCCTCCTCCACCTCCTCCTCCTCCTCCTCCTCCTCCCCCTCCTCCACAGGAAGCTCATACCTGAGGCCCCAGGACTTGGCGGCGCACAGAGGGGGGGGGGAGGGGAATGGGGGGAGGCTTCTCAGAAGGAGGCTGCTCCATAGAAAGCGCCAGCATTACATCTACAGACAAGGCCCGCGCCTTGTAAGAAGCAGGGGTGCTATTAAGAAGCCCTCCCCCCTCCACCTACGCATCTCTGCGCGTGGCTGAAAGACGTCCATCGATTTCTGATGTGGGAGCGTCGCGCTCTCCACGGCAGGACCACTGAAGCCCAAGAAACCCAGGGCACCCTGGAGGCAAGCAGGGTGCTTCTTGGCACGGGCTTCCACTGAATAGAAGCGGGCGGAGATATCCGCGCGGATCTCCTGCCTCAGCGCTGGCCCCCCACCCCACCGGCGGGCGCCCTCTGGCGACGCCCCCGGCCGAGGCGGCGCCAGGGAGGGGGGCTCCAGCGCCGAGGCGAGAGATCCGCGCGGAGATCTCCAAGATTTGTTGTTTGAAGGGGCCCACGGACACACACACACACACACACACACAGATAGCCACAGATCCCAGGATCCCCCACTTCTGGATGTTCCTCTTCCCCTACACTTCCAATATGTTCCACCTGTGCACGGGACTCGACAGCTAGTTGTTTATGTTTGTTGTCACCCTCCTGACATTTACGTGTATGAGGATTTTCTTCTTCGGGCTGAAATAGGAAGTCTCCCAAAGTAATTGGAATGCCTTCCTCTCTGCGTCATGTCATTCTCTCGGCCCACGCGTGGGGGAAGAACCCGCACGGTCCGAATCCTCAGGCCGCCGAGTTCCCCCCCAATCTCCCCCCCCTGACCTCGCCGCCGCAACGCGAGGCGCCTCACCACGAGGCAGGAACGAACGCACGAACGAACCACCACCGTCGCGCCAGAGCGCGTCCCACGGGGGGACAGGCGAAAGGGGCCGCGGTCCTGCGGAACTGGAGTCCTCGATGGATTCTCTTTCTCTCTCAAGCGCTCGAACAGTAATTGCTCGAGGAAGGAGGCGGGAGCGAAAATACTAGGAGGCCTGGGAATGGGCACCAACACCAACGCAGGGGGTTGCCTCCACAGGGGGAAGATGATCCTAGGTTTCGGTGTTGGTGGTAATATTTCGGTCGAAATGGAAACCAGAACATTACCACCATCACCGAGATCGGAATCTTCTTCCCTCGGTGCATGCACACCGCCGATGTTGGTGTTGGTGTCAATCTCTAGGCCTGCGAAAATACAGAGGGGTCTGAGCCCAGGACCCTGCAGCCACGGAGCGATTCGGGGAGGCTTCCAGCAGGCCTGCCTCCAGCCCTCTTCCTCCTCCTCCTCCTCCTCCTCCTCCTCCTCCTCCTCCTCCTCCTCCTCCTCCTCCTCCTCCTCCTCCTCCTCCTCCTCCTCCTCCCCTCCTCCTCCTCCTCCTCCTCCTCCTCCTCCTCCTCCTCCTCCTCCTCCTCCTCCTCCTCCTCCTCCTCCTCCTCCTCCTCCTCCTCCTCCTCCTCCCCCTCCTCCTCCTCCCCCGCACCTCCCCCACCCCGCCCCCGAGGCCACGAGGGCCACGCCTCGAGGCTCAGTATCAGCGGGTATTTCGAGGCCGCGAAGCCGTAGTCCCTGCAGACGCGCACCACGTCCTGGAAGGCCAGCCGGCTCGTCGGCGTCCAGCCGTGCGTCACCATGGGCTCGCCGTCGTCCCCGTCCCAGCAGTCTATCTCGACGCACCTGGCGCCGCGCATCAGGACATCGATGTACTGCTCCAGGCTGCTCTTCCTTGGCGGCGCGCGGGAAGGGAGCAGGGCAATGGGAGGGAGGGGGGGCCTCCTGAGAGGGCAGCGGGTGCTTCTTAGGAAGGCCCAGAGGCCCCTTTACGGAGGCTGCCCAGAAGGCAAGAGGGCCAACCGAGAGGCCCCCTGCCCCCTTCTGCAGGGCCGCCCCCCCCATCCGCAAATTCCCCGCCCGTTCTGCGCGACGCCGGCTTCCCGAAGAGCTGGTCCCCCTCCAGGTACGTGTTGTGTGAGCTCGCGATCCAGTAGTCCGTCAGCGGCAGCGACATGTCCTGGAAGACCTTCTCCTTCCGCGCTGGATCGAAGATGGAGTTCCTGTGGCTGCAGACGAGGGTCGAGAACCCCGCCTCGGTGAGGCACTTCTCGCCAGACGCCTCCAGGACTAGCACGTTGGGAGGCCCAAGCCTGTCGAAGGGGACGGGATCCTGGAAGTACAGGGAAGCGGCAGAAACATAAGCTTTCGGAGGACCGCGCTGATTCCTTGGGATCCGCGCTAGTCCCCCATCCCCCGGCGCGCGGAGTGCGCCGTGGCGGCGAGAGAGGCGCCGCCAGTGACTACCCACCAGACCACCCCAACCCAACCCGAAGACCCGAATTTGACCCGAATTTCGGGTTGAGGGGGGTACGGGTCCCATATGTTGTTTCAGTGTTCCCCGACCCCCCCCCCACACTGGAAATGGAGGGCACATTGAGGCCTTCGGGTTGAGTTGGGGCGGCTTGGTGGGTGGGGTGGTGAGCCAGGGGTGGCCCGGCGCCGACCCAAGAGATCTGCGCGGACCTCCGAAAGCGCATGTCTGTGCTGCGCCTCTGCTGCCCGTGATCCAGGGGGCTCTCGCCCTGCACCTCCGACAGGAACCGCAGGTAGGCCGACGCGCTCATGGCCAGCGCCAGCTCCGAGTAGCTGCGGTCCGGTGGTGCGTCGGGGCCAGCTCTGAGCTGGCGTTCGGCGCTCGGGCCCCTCAGAGGTACCATGCTGGCGTAGCGGTTGAACCACTCCAGGAGCGACTCCTTCGAGTTGAGATATTCGAAGAAGGACGCGAACTCGCCAAGGTCGAGAAGGCCATTGCGATCCTTATCGAACTCGTCGAAGAGGTCCCGTACTGTTGCCACCGACGTGCTCAGGTTCATCGATTTCATGAGCTCTGTGAGCTGGTCCACCTCGATGCCACCAGTACCATTGATGTCGAGACGCGCGAATTCCCGCACGACGGCGCTCGGCACGCCTTTCAGACTGTTGGTTTTGATCCGCTTCCTTGCCTGGCGGGACAGGTGCAGCAGCGCGGTCACCCAGCATTTCATCGAGTCCCTTGTAGGCGCGGCCAGCTTTATGGTGCGCTCGGAGCACACGAGGAAGAACTCCCTGGCGCTCCTGGGGAAACCAACAGGCAACGATACCACTACTCCCGGGACCTCTCTTGGTGTGCGCTCTGACCAGAACTCCGAGGCGAAGCCAGCGGTGGCGACGCGGGCCTTCCAGGAGGCCCCAAAAGGCGAAAACGAGGGAAGGGTGGCGGCATGGGTACCTTTTCCTCCTCTGAGCTCCTGGAGTCGGCCACGGCGTTCTCGTCCTCCAGCACCGCGCAGTAGATGCACCGCACGTCGGAGAGCAGCAGCCTGTTCCTCTTCAAGCCTCGGGAGGGCCCCCGCTGCGACCGCCGACCCACCCGGGCAGCGCACGACGGCTCGAAGAGGGGGACCGGGCGAGCGTGGCGGCCCGGTGAGAGGCACCCCGATGGGGCCTCCGCAGGGAGGCCCTGCTGCTCTTCTCGGGCACTGCCAGGGGCCTCCCAAGTGGGGCCCGAGCAGATGGCATCGGAGGATCGCGCCGCATCGCCAGTGCATCGCCGACACGCTGGCGAGGCATCAGCGATGCCTCGGCGATGCATCGGCGCCGTCGGCGTGGAGTAAACAGGGCTCCACATCGAGCAGCATCGCCGCTGCATCGGCGGCGAGGCGCGCTTTTCCGATCCCAATATGCTCGGACCCCGTCTGGGGGACCTAGAGATAGGGAGCCCACAAACGACGTGCGAGCCCAGCCACATTCATGAGTACGGTACCTCGGTCCGCGAGGACAACCTCATATGGAGAACATTCGCGCAATACGTACTTTCGAACCCATCGTGGATTCATGTAACTGGTCACACGTGCGTCACTCTTTCGCTTCGGAAGAGAGACGCACACCGAGGCCTCCGAGGAGGCACTTCAGGCATCGGAGACTCTCGGAAGGCGGGAGTCGGGGAACGCAGAGTGACATGAACATGAGAGCTCGGAGGTCCGCGCGGACTCCTCGGATCGGCGCTGGACTCCCCTGCATGGCGCGCTCCGCGCGCCAGGGCCGGCGCTGGAGGCGCCGCCAGGAGGGCTCCGGCGCGGACCCCGGAAATCCGCGCGGAGCTCCGAGTTTTTATGATTACGTCATTGCCTGTTCCCCTAGGGAGGGCCCCTGGAAGGCCCCCTCATCGGGGGCGCGCAAACATGGATTAGCGATCCATAGATTTGGCGCACGGTCGCCAAATCCATGGATCGGGGGAGGCGCCCTCCCCAAAATGCTGCCGGTGCCGCCTCGTTCGGCGGCCGAAATCCGCGATTTGTCATGGAAGCGGGGCCCGTCCCTGATCCACGGCCCCTTAAGATCCATGTTCGCGAGCGCCTGACTCTGGCCCCTCGCCGGGAGGCCCCCCTCCCCGCCCGCCCGCCCGCGCCCCCGCCGTGCGCACCTGCGGCCTCCCCTCGGGGGGAGGCCTGGGCCCCTGGCGGCGGCAGCGGCGGCGGCGGCGGCGGCGTAGGCGATCGACGCTGCGTCTCCGTGCCCCCGCTAGCGCCCCGACCCCCGCGGGGAGCCCCGGCCACGGCCGAATATGCCTGGCCTCCGAGGCAGGTCCGTGCCGTGTCGACACGGCGGCGACCCCGCCGCAGGCGTTCGAGGTGGAGCGCCGCTAGTGCCGTGAGCGTTTTCTTGTTCGGCGTTTCGACATTGGGTGGAGGGGGGGAGGGGGGAGAGGGGGGTCTGGCTCCAGACCTCTGCTCAGTACAACTGTTTGCGGGAGTGCGTCCATGATGGGGGAGGCTCCACCTGCTCGAGACGGGCGCCAAAAACAGCCAAGATCTACTCCATCGGGGGGGGGAGGGGGGGTGCGAGGGCCCGCGCCGATCGGCAAAACAACGAATAAGAAACGACCACGCCCCAGAAGCGGCCGCCATGGAACGATCTGGCCATCGGAAGCCGCCGATTGTTCGAGGCTGGACGGCCCACGCGGCGTCAGGAACCGACGCCAGGGTCGCCCCGACACGAGCCTGCCATACAGTATCATGAGGATGCGCGAGAAGGACGCAAGGGCCTTGGACGCCCATTTCTAAGCTTGTCGAGCGGGGCGCAGCCAGCGAGAGTGGCCAAGGATGGACCGAGGAGGCAAAGGATGCAAGGGCACCCTTGGGAAGGTTGCCCATCCTTCCTATGCGGCTTGACTGTGCGCCAGGTTCGTGTCGTGGCGACCCCGGCGTCGGTTTCTGACGCCGCGTGGGCGTTCAGCCTCGAACGATCGGCGGCTTTCCGATGGCCAGATCGTTCCATTGTGGCCGATTCTGGGGCACCAGCGGCGCTCCACCTTGAACGCCTGTGGCGGGGTCGACGTCGTGTCGACACGACACGGACCTGCTGTATACCCTGCCTCCGCTAGCGCCCAGAGTGGGGGGCAGCAGCATGGGTCTGGATCGAGCGTCGATCGTCGAAGGAGGGCCCCCCAGGCGCCGAGCTCCACCATGTTCTTGTTCCTGTACCAGCGCAGCTGCGCGTGTTGCCGCGAGGTGCGCCCACCCACCACCACGAAGAACCACTTCTTCCTCACGGCCAGCCGCCGGGGGTCCATGCGCCGCAGCATGGCTCGGAAGGGGCTGTGGGAGAGGTTGGCCACGTTGGCCGTCGCGACCAGCTCCAGCTCCTCCCCACGCCGTGCCCAGTCGGACGCCTCGCTGTGGTTGAACTCGCTGAAAGTGACGGTCGGCGGCATCACCTGCGCGGCCAGAGAGTCGCTCCAACCGAACGACTTGAGCGACATCTCCTCGGCCAGGCTTAGGTCGGGCATGTCCCCCTACAGGCAGATTTTGAACGAAAAACAAGCGAATAGTCAAAACATATCCAAAATGATCAAAAAAATCAAAGAATCGTGCCCAGATCATGGTTTTACTATTTATGTATATTCCTCCTGTTGAGGGACAGGCCCGACTTCAGGCCAGGCGGGCGCGCCCCCCGCCCCCTCGGAGCTGGCCAGCAGGTGCTCCTGCCCCAAGGGCGCTGGCGTTGCTGCGTTGCTGCTCGCAGCGCCGCGCTTTCTGCTCCTTCCTGTTCTGCTGTGTGCTGCTGTTCCTTGTTCCTTCCTGTTCTTCTGTGCCGCGCTTTCTTGTGGCTTTGCTGCGTTCCTGCTCGCAACGCACACCGCCAGAGGCGGCGGAGAGCTTGAGAAGAACCCTTGGGCCGCTGCGGGAGCCGCCTGGGCCTCCCTGGAAAAGCTGGGGCCCGAAGACGAATCCGGGACCAGGACAGAGTCGGACCAGGACAGAGCGGGGAGATTTGAGAACGGGCGAGTCCGGCGATGTGTCGGGCGCTGCGGCCGTTCCAGAGCGCTCCGAAGCACTCCGAGCGCGTTCCAGTGCGTTCCAGAGCGATGCATCCCGGTCCAGGACGAGAGCGGTGCCATGATTCGGCTGGCTCGGGACACGCCCCAGGAGCTCCAAAGAAATCACCTCTGGCGTCGAGACCGGCGTGGGAGTTCCCTGGACCCCCCCGGGAACCCCCGAAAACCCTCCGACAACGACACGACATATGTTTTTTCCCCTAGGTATTTCCCCATCGGAGCCTGGGAAGCGGGGGGGCGGAGCTTGGGGAGTTTTGGAGGGGGGTCCAGGGGGCCTATCGTTTAAAAAAGCATTGCTCTCTCTCTCTCTCTCTCTCCCCCTCTCCCTCTCTCTCTGTCTCTCTCTCTCTCTCTCTCTTTCTCTTTCTCTCTCTTTCTCTCTCTCAGAGGGGTTTCGGGTGGCTCCAGGAGGCGGTCGAGCACAACCCTGCACATCGCACTTCGGGATGACCCCCTGGGACCCCCCATCCGTTTTGTTTTTTTGTATCTGGATGGTGTTCAAGGGTTTGTCGATGATTTTTGTTGGTGATGTTTTCTCTCGGTTGTTTGTTCGAAGGGGTCTGGAGTACCACAACTTAAACAATACTACATCTGAGAGAAACCTCAAATGACCCCCCCCCCAAACAAAAAACAACTAACAACTGCCCAGCTGTTTTATTTAGGTGGTTTGTCGGGGGTCCGGAACCCCAAAACAAAAACAAAATACTTCGGATTACAGGTGACACAAAAGCAACGGAAAAAAAAGCAGCAACAACAACAACAACAGCAACAACAAAAACACCCAACCCGGGAGATTTACTGGAGCTTGTCAGTGGGTTCCGGGGGCCATACTTGAAAACAATGCTATTTCTTAAAATCTGGTCACCACCTGAAAAACGTTCGAAAACAAAGTGGTTTTGTTCGGTGAGGGCCCAGGTCCCCACAATTTAAAACAAGAGAAGTTCTGAAAGAAGAAACTCCTTGAAAACCTCCCAACGCGGGGTTGTTTCGAAAGTTGTGGGGGGGTCGGAGAGCCCACAACTAAAAACACTACTAGTGTTGATTGCTTCATCTACAGATAGATTCCTCTTCCTATATTCTTATACGCCCGGGCGGGGGGAAAACCCGCCCCCCCCCCCCAAAAAAAAAAAAAACTGGACTCCTGGAATCTATGGCTTTGGGACCGGGCCTCGAAGCGGCCACCGGGCCTCACATGGCGTTTTGCCAAGCCTTCCCAGCACACCTAGGGCGATCAGGGGGGTCATCGGAGACGTCCCAGACCCCCAAGACAGCACAAGAGCGCTCCAAGAGTGACCGACGTGACCTCAAGATGGCCCAAGAGGCCTCTAGGACGGCCCCAAAGAGGCCTTCAAGAGCACTCCCAAGAGGGCCCCCGAGGCAAAAATCATTGATTTTCTGTGGGTTTTTGGTGAATTTTAGGGTTCTCCTCTTTTCGGCCTCCCGACGCGCCAAGACGGCGATCTTCTGGGCGTCCGAAGCCGCCTGGGAGGCTCCAAAATCGGCCCACAGCCATCCGAAAGGGCTTCCAGGCAGTCCAAGAGAGCCCCCAAACGGCACAACACGGGTCCAAGATGGCCCTCAGAGAGCCCCATGGTGGCCCAAGATGGCCCAAAGACACCCTCCGAAGAATTCCATATCGTGATTCGGTCGTTCAGGGAGTTCGCGGTTGGAGGCAGGGTGGCCCGAGGAAGCCCCCGGAGGCCACCAGAATACGCCCAGGAGGTCTCCAGAAGGCCTTGAGAAAGCCTGAAACAACTTTTGTGAGGCCCCTAGAGGCTCTCCAAGGAGCCTCCGCAAACAAGAGCTGAGGAGGATGGGGAGAATGCGCAGGGCATGGCGGAAATAAGGAAAAAGAAGCATGGAGGAAGGATAACGAATAACAGTATTATAGCGGCGATGCCAGAAAAGGCAACCAGGAGTTATCGCTCAATGTTCGGCTTGACCTTCCTGCTATTTCGCCTGCATGCCAAACTTCAAGGACCAAGGTGCATGGCGCGAAGCGCCACTGCAGTCTTATGTATATTAATAATAAGAAAACATACTAAGCCGTATTTACATTTGATAATAAGCATAATGATGATACCATATCAACTGTTTAAGAACATGAGAGCACACAAAGAACACACAACAACAATACTCAGAACAATCAAACTCGGAATTTGTCTGGTGTTTTGTCGAAGTTTCTCCAGCCATCCCAGACTCCCGGGAAGGAAACACTTGAACAAAAAACAACTCGGCAACTTGGGTTTTTCGCAGTTTTTCAGGTCTCTGGGGGCTCACAATGAAAAACAAGGCGATTGCTGATTGCTGAAAGCAACAAACAAAAGAAAACTGGAACAACCTGACAGTTCCACCAATTCGGATGTTTTTCGGATTGTCTTCGGTGGTTCTCTGGCCACCCTAGGCTCCAGGGGGGGAAGCCCCCCAAACACTCCCCAGCTCGGATGTTTTTCGGAGGGGTCCGGGTGGGTTCGGAGAGCCCAAAGACCCACAATCAAAAACAAAACTATTCCTAGAAAAACACACCCCAAAACAATGAAAAAAACACCTCAGCTCTGTCTCGGAGCTTCGCCGGCCACCGCAAGCTCTGGGAGAGAAAATCCTAGAAGAAACCCGCGTTGTTTTTTCTCGGAAGGTTTTCTAGGGACTCCAAGGCCCCACAATTAAGAACAAAACTGCTTTTGAAACACGGACACACACACACTCTCTCTCTCTCTCTCTCTTGCACCCACACACACGCACACACACACACAGACACACACTCACACACGCACACACACACACACGCACACACACACAAACACACATACACACATACACACACACGCACACACAAACAATAAGAACAATTCTCCCTCCAACTCAAAAGTTGTTCGGTGGGCCCTCGGAGGTTTTAGGGGGCCCATAATGGAAAACAAATTCGCTTCTGCAAACAAAAAAAATCATCCTCGGAACAATCCGTGGAAAACCCTCAAGCTCGGAAGCTGTTCTGGTGTTTTTCGGTGGTCCTCCGGCCGCCCCAGGCCCCGGGGGGGGAAACTCCAGAAAAAAAACAGCTCGGAGAGCTTTCTAGTGTTTCTCAGGCCGCTCCGGGGGCCCATGATCAAAAACAACACCAGTTCAACAAAAAACAAAACAAAAACAACAACACAACCAAAACAAAACAAACACAAAACAAAACAAAAGCAGTTTAATCACCGGCTCCGCTGATTAAAAACAAAACTAGTTCAACACAAAAACACCAGGGGCTCTGGGAGCGCAGCACCCCAGGACCGAGCGAGCTCAGCCGGCCGAGCTCAGCCCGGCCGGGCTCAGTCCGGCCGAGCTCAGTCCGGCCGAGCTCAGCCTGGCCGAGCTGTTCCTGGCCAAGTGTCGCCACCGAGCGCCCGAGGCCCCCACGTGGCGGCCCGAGGCCGCCGCGGGCCGCCCGCACCAGAGCCCCCCGCAGGCCTTCCGCCGCCGCGGCCCTGGGCGACGAGGCCCACCGCGGGGCCGCCGCGCGCGGCGCAAGGCGACAACGACGCCCTCCTCCTCCTCCTCCTCCTCCTCCTCCTCCCTCCTCCTCCTCCCTCCCCCTCCTCCCCCTCCTCCTCCTCCTCCTCCTCCTCTTCCTCCTCTTCTTCTTAGTAGTATCCATATTAATATTACTATTCGTAGTGTTACTGTCATTAGTGTTATTCGTACTATCTTATGAGACTTCATATTATTAGTAGTATGAATATCATTGTTCGTATTTTTCATGTTAGCATTAGTAGTAGTAGTGTGTTCCTGGATTTAGTATTCTGATGATTTTAAGTCGCACTAGTATTCTTATTATGAATAATGTCTTCATATTATGGTTATGATTATTATGTTCCTCCTCCTCCTCCTCTTCCTCCTCCACCTCCTCCTCCTCTTCCTCCACCTCATCCTCCTCCTCCACCTCCTCCTCCTCCTCCTCCTCCTCCTCCTCCTCATCTTCCTCCTCCTCCTCCTCCTCCACTTCCTCTCCTCCTCCTCTCCTCCTCCTCCCTTCTCCTCCTCCTCCTCCTCTCCTCCGCCTCCTCCCCCTCCTCCCTCCTCCTCCTCCTCCTCCTCCTCCTCCCTCCTCCTCCTCCTCCTCCTCCTCCTCCTCCTCCTCCACCTTCTCTCCCTCCTCCCGTCTTGCCCTGGCCATGCCACCGCCGCGCACGGGCGCGGCGGTGGCATGGCCAGGGCAAGCAGCCGACGGGGGCGGCGGCGGCGGCGGCGGCGACGACGACCTAGGGCCTAGGGGGCGCCCTCGCCGCCACGGCCGGAGGTCGCCTCGAGCCCGTGGCCAGAGCGCACCGCCGGGGCAGGTCTGGGAGCCGCTCCGAGGAGGGGAGGCGAAGGGCTAGCGCCGCCGACGTCGCCGACGCCAACGTCGACGACGGCCGCGGCGGCACGGCAGCGGCTGCACAGCGCCGACGGCGGCGGCGAAGCGGCTCCTTCGAGAACCACACCCCGCTGGACCATGTCCCCTTTCTGTTGTGCGGCCGCTTGCCCGGGCTGTCGCCAAGGCTGCTGTTGCCGACGGAGCTCTCGCCAAGGCTGCGCCAGCTGGCGCCGCGGTCGGGTGGCCACCCCATGAGGGCCAGGGGAGTCCCAGCTCAGAGGCCCGCTTCTGCCCGCTGGGCCTCGCCTGCGCGCCCTGCTCGGGGCAGCTGTGCCCTGCGTCGTGGCAGCTACCCCATGCAGGCCAAGGGTGCGCAAGCTTTGGGGCCCGCTTCTACCTATCATGGCCTTCCCTGCGCCCTACTTGTGACAGCTATGCCCTACTGTGTGGCCTGTCCAATCATACCCTACGAGTGGCGCATATGCCCTGCTCGCGGCGTCGCATAGCAGTGCGATCACTGTCCAGGATGTGGCCTCCAAGCAGGAACGGCCAAGCGGGCCCCCAGAGACCAAAGACAGCCCAGACGGCTGACAATCAGCCAATGCTGTCCTTCTGGCTCGGCCTCCGGGGGTATCCCGCTTGCTCACTCTGGGGCCCCCTGGCCCAAAGAGGCCCACGAGGAGCCCAAGAGGAACCCAGGAGGCCCCAGGAGACCCCCAGGAGGCCCACAGGAGGCCGGGGCTCCGACATCGCGACCTCTGCCCTGGCATGGGGTCCCCCATGGGGCTCTCGACCACGCTCTTCTCGGTGCCCGGCCCACGCCGCGGGGCTGACTTCTTGACGGCCCCAGGCCCGAGTCACGAGGCCCCGAGGGCGACGGAAGCGCCCGCCACAGACATCCGACGGCGTGGTGGTATCTCAGAGCCCCGTGAACCCGGACACGCTAGACCCGCACACCCAACATCCCTTGAAACCAATTCTTCCAGATGGCGGCACGAACAAAATACTGCACTGGAGCAATTCCAGAATGAACCCCGACACGGGCCCTAACAAGCCGGCAAGGCCCCCCTAAACCCGGACACAAATCCGAATCCTGCATTGCAGCAAACAGAAAAGCACGGGTGCTGGAAAATGTGACTTTGCAGGGAAGGGTGTCGTTTCTTTGGCGTTCCGTGTCCTGGATTATCTGTGTCCTGGTCTCCGGGGCCCTGAGTACTTCTGCACCCGCGGGCCCCAGAGGTGCTGGAGCGGCTCGATTTATGTCGCTCCCATCGCACTTGAGGACTACATCCCAGAAATAGTTTCGAGCACCCAGAAAAGTGTCGAAACGGTGTCGGACGAGCATCGCCTCCCAGGGCCCGACGCGTGAAAACCGTCAAGCTTCGGCACCTTCCTGGTGTTCGGAATTCTTTCTGGCGGTGAAGGCTAAAGTAGATGTTGGTCGGGCATGTCCTCCTACAGGCGGCTTTTGGGGTAAAAAAGCGAAAGGCTCAACAAGATTCAAAACAGGTTCTCTGATATACAAAGCTTTATATGAACACACACACACACACACGACAAAGGGCTACCCATATTGTGTTTTACTTATTGAGACATACTCATCCTGTAGAGGGACATGCCCGACTTACAAAATAATGCTTGAGCATCACAAGGCTCGATGTGTGCACCGCGTCGTCTGGGGTCGGCCAAGGTGGCTCGGGGCACGGGCGCCCCAGCTTCCCACCCGGCGGGACGACGAAGCGCCCAGAAAACTGTCTTGCGCCGGCGGCTGGGCAGGGGACGTCTGCGCTGGCGATGGGATGCCCGGACTGATGTTACTCAAGGACCACATTCAAGAAATAACCTCGAGCACTCAGAAGAGCATCGCAACGGTGTCGAGCGAGTATCGCCTCCCATGGCCCGACGTGCGGAAACCTTCAAGCTTCGGTACTTTCTTGGTGCTCGAAATTATGGCTGGTGATCAAGGCTGAAGTAGGTTTAGGTCGGGCATGTCCTCCTACAGGCGGACTTTGGAGGAACACAAAGACTCAGCAATCTTCCCAAAAAAACATGTTTTCTCTCATGCAAAACGTCACAATAAGACACCAAAAAAGGAACTGCCCTGGCTCGAAATTATGTCTGGTGATCAGGGCCAACGCATGCTGGAACACTCGAAGCCGACACGGGGATGCCGCTGGAGCGAAACTTCAACGGCCGCGCACGGGGAGGAGCAGCGGGGGGGGAGGTGCGGCCGCGCCCAGCTTCTTTGGCCTAACGCCCAGCGTCCAGGCAGCACGGAGGCCACCCGCCCAGCTCCTTGGCGTTGGTCGGGCATGTCCCCCTACAGGCGGCGTTTGGGCGAACAATCAAACATAGTCCAAAACATATGCAAAGATAGTCAATACATATTCGCAAACAAAAAAAACGCCCCCAGACCATGCGTTGACTATTTTGGAATAGTCCTCCTGTAGAGGGGCACGCCAGACGTAAGTCTAGAAAACACTGAGGCCACCCGCCCAGCTCCTTGGCCCACTGGCCAACGGCACGGCGTGGTGCATGCATCGAGCCCCTCCCAAGGTACCGACCCCACGTCACTCGCCGCCGAGTGGTGCATGCATCGAGACCCTCGGAAGGTATCGACCCCACGTCCCCAAGGGCAACTTTCCATGCGGGGTCCATGCTTGATCACGCCGAGGGTCGGAAGACTGAGCAGGGAGGCCCACAGGAAGCGCTCCGAGGCTGCGCGGCTGCACAGAAGCCAGTCCGCCAGACGTCTGGTGCCAGGACTTCCGCCGCGCCGCACGCAGGTCTGAGCTTCGACCCCGTCCTGCTCTTGGGCGAAAAACGAATCCGTAGCCGCGGCCTCGCGGGCCGGGCCCCCGGGCGCGACCCCGCGGGAATGAAGATTTGTTCGCGGATGCCCCGCGCGGATCGTACGTATTTGGAATAGGAACTACAGAATTGATGTACCCCGGAATTTACATGTTCATCGAATATTCCAGGAAATATGTCGTACATGCACTTGCAGATCTATGACAATTCTACGTATGATTCGACGAAATATAAGTTCTGGGGTGCATCAGGTATGTAGTCGATCTCCTACTCGAACATCCGCATCGCCACCCCGAATCCAGACCGCGAGGGCGCGGATACGGAGATTCGGCGACGCCAAGGGTGTGGCTTGCAAATGGGGTGGATTGCAACCGGCATCCAGGGGGGCACCCTGACGACGGGCGACCGGGAACTTCGACGGAGTCCCCCGCCGCGCTCGGAGGCCCGACGAGGACAGCGTCGTGCTCCCCAGGCCCTAGCGGTGCCGAGCGCAGACCACACCCCGGCGTACACGTCGGTCGGAAGGAGCAGGTAAAGAGATGAAGCAGGAGGGTGGATGACGTCGATTGGGCTCGGGCCCTCCCAAAGAACAGCAGCACGCAGCAAAAGCACACATCGACCCGCGAAGCAGGGCGGCGAATCTGAAGCAGATTGGGATCTGGGAGTCCAGAATCACCTATAGTCTCAACGACCGGCGTGAAGCCCTGCCCGTTGCAGTCGCCAAGACATGCTCGCTGCTCGCGGCCTGCGCGCTCAGAGTCGACCGCCGGGGCCGCCCTGGAGGGCGCGCTCCGCGGCCGGGGCTGTGGGGGGAGGGCCCCCAGGCGAGGCGGTCCAGGGCCGGGCGACGGAGAGAGGCCTGCCCTGGAGGGGGCGACCGGCTTATCTTAAGTCGGGCCTGTCCCTCTACAGGAGGCATATCCAGAAATATTAAAAAACATGTATTTGGGGAGTTCTTGATTCTGTTTCGACTATTTTGAAAGTTGTCGTTCACATCTGCCTATCGGGGAGACATGCCCGACCTAAGGCTCGTCCGTCGAACCTGAGAACAGTACCTGGAGCGCTCGGAGATCAACGAACACCAGATGCCGAGTCGACGAGCATGTCAGCTTTGGGGCACGAGCCAATTCTGTAGTCAATCTCCTGCTCGATACCTGAGGCCCCAGGAGCACCCCACAACGCAAAACAATGGCGAAAAAATATTCGGGGCCCATCCTCCCCCTGCTCCCCCTCCGTCGTGTGCTCCCCCTCCTCCCCCTCTTCCTCCTCCCCCTCCTCCTCCTCCTCCTCCTCCTCCTCCTCCTCCTCCTCCTCCTCCTCCTCTTCCCACTCCTCTTCCTCCTCTTCCTCCTCCTCCTCCTCCTCCTCCTCCTCCTCCCACTGGCCCTTACAGGGTGGGCCGCCCTCCACGGGTTCTGGTGTTGCTCTTGCTGCTCTTCACCCGCTGGATGCCGTCGCTGGCCACCCGCTGGATGCCGTCGCCAGATACCTCGACCTCGGGCGCAGGCAGGGCCCCGCAACCCCAGGCCTCCCGGCCGAGACCCCCCGCACCGTCTGGAGGCGGTCCGGGGACCTGAGCTGGACAAGCCAAAGAAACTCGGTCAAGACGAGGGGTGGAGGAGAATTCACGCAAACTCGGTTCCCAGACCCTTCCCAGGGTCGAAACTGACAAGTTGTTCGAGCCGTGTCCAGCCGTGGCGACGAGGAGGCCGCTTTCTCTAAACTTTCTGCTGGCTGGAGCTAGTGCTAAGCCACCTCAGCCCCTCAGACGGCTGCACCACCCCACGTCGCTAGAAAACCACAAGGTCTGGAAGCAACTCCTGGGAAGTCTTTGTAAGAACGGTTGAAGGATGTCGGCCCGATGAAGAGGCCAGCATGCCGGATTATTTGGACGCCCGAAATGGGTACGGAAAGAATGGGTACGATGCCCAAACACAAATGTTGTCCCAAACCAACAGCGGCCGCTGTTGGGCAGGCGGCCTTCTGTCTCGAATGGACACAGGCCGCGGCGGCGCGGACAGCGAGTCCTGTTCAAAATGAACAGGAACTGCTGTTGGGCATCGTACCCATTCTTTCCGTACCCATTTCGGGCGTCCAAAGGATTAAACCCAAGACTCTGCCATAGTATGCCCGACTAGAGCCGTTTTCGACAACGGACATACCAGTGCCGATGCTGAACGCAACATAGCCCAGGAATCGCATCCTAACTGAGGATGGCGGTTGATACTTTTCAGCCTCTGGAGGCCGTCACCATGTCCTGCAACGGCCAAAGATGAAAAATAAACACTTCTGGGGATGGGGTCGAGACCTCCAAGGTTCCACGTTGGCGCCCAGGAAGCCAGGGCAACCGAAAGGCCGAATGGGCTTCAACGATGTGTTCGCTAGTTTGCCCTACGCCCTCCGATGGGCCTCTGGGGCTTTTCCACTTTCTTCCCTTATACATAACTCCCCCCCTGTCGCACCCCGAGGCCAATCGAAAGGGCAGGCTGGGCGTTTCGCCGTAGATTTTGCAGGAGCTTCAGAGATGGAGGGCGGGCCGTTTTCTAAATGTGGTCATCTCCTTAGCCCTGCGCGCATCCGTCTTAAACAGATGCAAGAGCTTCACGGATGGAGGGCGGGTCGTTTTGAAAATGAGGCTCTCGCGTGGGCGCCGCGCACATTCGTCTTCAAATGTTTGAAGAAGCTTCGCGGATGGAGGGCAGGTCGGTTTCAAAACGCGGTTCGCGCCTTAGCCCCGCGCGCATCCGTGTTGCTTACATTGCAAGGTTTTCGTTGGCACGATGTCGGGCTGTCGGGGCGCAAAGAGGTGATGAAGTCCCAGGACAAAATGTTCTGGCAAGATTCAGGATCGTCGAGACGCAGCAGTAAGATTGCTTCGCGGCGTCGAAGTCCCAGAAACATCGTACTGGCACAACTCAAGATGTTCAAACGGTTGTTTTCCAATGGGGCACCTCCCTCCAGCAAAAATGGATCCTTGTATGGGGCCTTCAGAGAGGGAGCTTGCAGGGAGGGCTTATTCCAATATCGTCGATGAGTCTTGGATTTATAATGATCCTCGTCCTCATTCCCTTCCTTTTCCTGTTTGGACGCGTCGAATCGTCGTGGTCGACCGGTCCGCTCGTTCGTCCGTCCGTCCGTGGTCCTCATGGTCGTTGTCGTCCTCGTCGTCGCTTTCCCTCCTATCAGAACCCAATCAAAACCCAACCCAACCACCCAGCGCCGAACCTAGCCGTGGCGACGACAACCCCCCGGAAACGCCCCAGAAACCTGCGACACGAGGGCGAGGACGACGCCGTCATCTGTCGTCCTCTGCCTTTGCCGCCGCGGAGGTCGCCTCGCTTCATAAATCGCCCACCCGACCTTCCGCCCAGTCCAAGCCTGCAAGTGACACATTCTCGAAGCGAATCCATACGCCGCGACGCGGGCGTTTCCACTGGGCAAGATAAAGCTTTGAAATTCGAGGGTGGTCGTCGCACGCGACGCCGCTGTTGGCGTTGTCGTCGCAGTCGTCTTGCGTCCGCCTCCGTCCGTCTGACCGTCCGTCGTCCGTCGTGTCTCGTCGCAATCGTCGGCGTCCTCCTCCGTCACCCGTGGTCCGTCGACCGTCCTCGTCGACGTTCGTCCGTGTCTGCCCACGCCACCGACGCCGTCGTCAGTCGTCCGTCCTTGTCGTCGTCGTCGTCGTCGTCGCAGCGCATCGTCTGCAATCGTCGCTGGCCAACGCAACTGCCGCAGCCGCCGTCGCCGCCGTCGTAGTCCGTTTTCGTCATCGTAGTCGTCCGTCCGTCCATCCGTCCGTGCGCCGCCGACGATGTCGCCACTGTCATCCGTCGTCCGTCGTCGCCTGGGGTCTGCTGTCGTCGTCGCAGTCCCTCGTCTGTCGCTGCCGCCACCATCCCCCGCCGCAGCCGCTGTCGTCGTCGCCGTCATCGCCGCCGCCGCCGCCACAGCCGTCGTCGTCGTCGTCGTCGTCGTCGTCGTCGTCGTGGCCGTCGTCGCCGCCGCCGCCGTCGCTGTCGCCGTCGTCGTCAACGTCGACGTCGTTGTCGTCATCGTCGTCGCCGTCGTCCGTCGTCCGGCGTAGTCGTTCGTCCGTCCCCGTCCGCCCCCGTCCGTCGTCGCCGTCATCGCCACCGCCGCCACCGTCGTCGTTTTTGTTGTCGTCGTTGTTGCCGCCGTCGTCGCCGCTGCCGCCGTAGCCGTCGCGGCCATCGTCGCCGTCGCCGTTGCCGTCGCCGCCGCCGCCGCGGCCGCCACCGCTGCCGCAGCCGTCGCCGCCACCGCAGTCGTCGTCGTCGTCGCCGCCACCGTCGTCGTCGTCGTCGTCATCATCGTCGTCGTCGTCCATCATCTGGCATAGTCATTCGCGCGTGCCCGTCCGCCCCCGTCCGTCGTCGTCGTCGTCGTCGCCGTCGCCGCCGCCGCCGCCGCCGCCCCCACCTCTAACGCCGCCGCCGCCGCTGCCGCCGCCGCCGTCGTCGTCGTTCGTCCGTCTCCGTCCGCCCCCGTCCGTCGTCGCCGTCATCGCCGCCGCCGCCACCGTTGTCGTCGTCGTCGACGTCGCCGTCGTCGCCACGGCCGCCGCCACCGCCGCGGCCGCCGCCACCCCTGTTGCCGCCGCTAACGCCCCCGCCGCCGTCGCCACCGCCGCCGTCGTCGTCGTCGTCGTCGTCGTCGTAGTCGTCCGTCGTCCGACGAAGTCGCTCGTCGTCTGGCGCAGTCGTTCGTCCGTCCCCGTTTGCATCCAAAGGCGTCGCCGTCATCGCCGCCGCCGCCACCGTCGTCGTCGTCGTCGCCCGTCGTCTGGCGTAGTCGTTCGTCCGTCCCCGTCCGTCCCCGAAAGTCGTCGCCGTCATCGCCGCCGCCGCCGCCACAGCCGTCGTCGTCGTCACCGTCGCCGCCGTCGCCGTCGCCGTCGTCACCACAATCGTCGTCGTCGTCGCCGCCGCCGCCGTCGCCGCCGCTGCCGCCGCTGCCGCCGCTGTCGTCGTCATCGTCGTCGTCGTCGTCGTCGTCCGTCGTCTCGCGTAGTCGTTCGTCCGTCCCCGTCCGCCCCCGTCCGTCGAAAACGTCATCGCGGACGCCGCCACCGTCGTCGCCGTCGTCGTCGCCGCCGTCGCCGACACCGTCGCCGTCGTCCTCGTCGTCGCCGTTGCCGTCGCCGCCGCCGACGCCTCCGACACCGCTGCCGCCGCCGCCGCCGCCGTCGTCGTCGTCATCTTCTTCGTCGTCGTCGTCGTCCGTCGTCCTGCGTAGTCGTTCGTCTGTCCCCGTCCGCCCCCCCGCCCCCGTCCGTCGTCGCCGTCATCGCCGCCACCGCAGCCGTCGTCGTCGTCGTCGACGTCGCAGTCGTCGCCGACGCCGCCGCCGCCGTCGACGTTGTCATCGCCGTTGCCGTTGCCGTTGCCGCAGGCGCCGCCGCTGCCACCTCTGCCGCAGTCGTCGTCGTTGTCGTCGCCACCGCCGTCGTCGTCGTCGTCGTCGTGTTCGTTGTCCTCGTCGTCGTCGTCGTCCGTCGAATTGCGTAGTGGTTCGTGCGTCCCCGCTTGCTCCCGTCCGTCGTCGCCGTCATCGCCGCCGCCGCCACCGTCGTCGTCGTCGTCGTCGTCCGTCGTCGTCGCATTCGTCGCCGCCGCCGTCGCCGTCGCAGTCACTCCTGCCGCCGCCACCGCCGGTGCCGCCACCACATTCGTCGTCCGTCGTCGTCGTCCGTCGTCTGGCGTGGTCATTCGTCCGTCACCGTCCGCCCCCATCCGTCGTCGCCGTCATCGCCGCCGCCGCCCCCGTCATCGTCATCGTCCTCGTCGTCGTCGCCGTCGTCGCCACCGTCGCCACCGCCGCCGTCGCCGTCGCCGTCGTCGTCGCCGTCGCCGTTGCCGTCGTCGCCACCGCCACCGTCGCCGTCGTCGTCGTCATCATCGTCGTCGCCGTCGCCGTCGTCGTCGTCCAGCGTAGTCGTTCGTCCGTCTCCGTCCGCCCCCGTCCGTCGTCGCCGTCATCGCCGCCGCCGCCGTCGCCGCCGTCGTCGTCGTTGTTGTCGTCGTCGCCGCGACCGCCGTCGCCGTCGCCGTAGCCGTCGTCATCGTCGTCGTCGCCGTTGCTGTCGCCAGCGCTACCGCCGCAATCGCTGCCGCCGCCGCCGCCGCCGCCGCCGTCGTCGTCGTCGTCGTCGTCGTCGTCGTCGTCGTCGTCGTCGTCGTTGTCGTCGTCGTCCGTCGTCTGGCGTGGTGGTTCGTCCGCCCCCGTCCGCCCCCGTCCGTCGTCGCCGTCATCGCCGCCGCCGCCCCCGGCGTCGTCATCGTCGTCGTCGTCGCCGTCGTCGCCACCGCCGCCGTCGTCGTCGTCGTCGTCGTCGTCTTCGTCGTTGTCGTCGTCGCCCGTCGTCCGGCGTAATCGTTCGTCCGTCCCCGCCCGACCCCGTGCGTCTGTCCGTCCGCCGCCGCCGTGTCTGTTCTGCCGTCCGTCGTCCTTCGCCCGTCGTCGTCGCGGTCACAGTCGCCTGCTGAGTGTCCTCCGCCGTTCGTCCGGCCCCAAGATCGGCCTCCTCTGGCTCGCCCGTCTCGGCCGCGGCCGCGCCTCCGAATCTGACCACCCGCTGGATGCTCATCCCGTCGCCCGCCCTGTCGGCCTCGGGCGCAGGCAGGGCCCCGCAACCCTGGGCCTCCAAGCCGAGACCCCCCGCTCCGCCTGCTGGCGGTCTGGGGCTCTGAGCTGGATAGGCCTAGAGAAGAGCGGTCAAGAGGAGGGACGCAGGCAAATTCACGCAAACTCGGTCCCCAGACCATTCCCAGGGTCGAAACTGACAAGCGGTTGGAGCCGCGTCCAGCTGCGGTGACGAAAAGGCCGCCTTCTCCCCCCTTTCTGCCGGCTGGAACCTATGCTAGGCCACATCAGCCCCCCAGGCGGCTGCAACCTCCCCGCGCCGGTGAAAAACAACGACGGACGGTTAGGAGGCAACTCCTGGGAGGTCTTCGCAAGAACGATTCAAGGATGTCGGCCCGATGAAGGGGCCAGCATGCCAGACTAATCCCAAGATTTAGTCATATTAAGACGGACTGAAGCCGTCTTTGACAACGGATCTACCAGCGCCGATGATGAATTGAATATGACCCAGGAGGTGCATCCTAAGCGAGGAGGGTGGTTGAGACTTTGCGGGCTCTGGGGGCCGTCACTATGCCCCGGAACGGCCCTGGGCGAAAAAGAAATACTGCCGGGGAAGTAGACCGGCGTCGGGAGTCTGAGGACGCGCCCGGGACGACAGGGCCCCTGAAAGACCGCTTGGGCTTCAAAGATGTTCGCCGGTTGGCTTTTGTGGGCTCGGGGGCCTCCCTTCCTCGTCCCTCTCCCCGACCGTCCGGCCAGCCCGAAGCTGTCCGCAGCAGGTCATTTCGAAGCGAAGCCAGCCGCGGCAACGCGGGCGGCCCCACAGAACAAAGATCAACTCTAAAATTAGGTCGGGCATGTCCCCCTACAAGGCGGATTTTGAACGAGATTTATAAATAGTCAAAAAAAATACTTCCAAAGAACAAAGAATACTATTAAGAAAACGTCCCCATACGATTTCTTGACTATTGTTGGATATTCCTCCTGTAGAAGGACATGCCCAGCTTAACTCTAAAATCCAGGGATCGTCGTCGCACATTTCGCCGCCGCCCGCGCCGTCGTCGTCGTCGTCGCATTCGTCTGTCATGCGTCGTCGTCTGTCGTCGTCGTTCGCCGCGTATCGTCGCAATGGTCTCTGCCTTCCTCTTCCACTGCTCGTCGTCAGTCGGCGTCGACGGAGTTCCCCCGTCCCCGTCCATCTGTGTGTTCGCCGCCGCCGTCGCCGTCGTCGTCTGTCGTCCGTCCTTGTCGTCGTCGTCGTCGTCGCAGTCCGTCGCGCGCCGTCGTCGCCAGCCAACGTGCCGCAGCCGACGTCGTCGTCGTTGTCGCCGTCGTCGTCCGTTTTCGTGCCGTGCGTCAGTCCATCAGTCCGTCCGTCGCCACTGTCGCCACCGTCGTCCGTCATCACATGTAGTACGCCGTCGCCGTCGCCGTCGGTCGTCAGTCGTCGCCGCTTGCGTCCGCCGCCGCCGCCGTTATCGTCGTCGTCGCCATCGTCGTCGTCGTCGTCCGTCGTCCGGCGTAGTCGTTCGTCCCTCCCCGTCCTCCCCCGTCCGTCGTCGCCGTCATCGCCACCGCCGCCACCGTCGTCGTTGTCGTTGTCGTCGTTGTCGTCGCCGTCGTCGCCGCTGCAGCCGTAGCCGTCGCGGTCGTCGTCGCCGTCGCCGTTGCCGTCGCCACGGCCGCCGCGGCCGCCACCGCTGCCGCAGCCGCCGCCGCCGCAGTCGTCGTCGTCGTCGCCGCCGCCGCCCGTCGTCGTCGTCGTCGTCGTCGTCGTCGTCGTCGTCGTCGTCGTCGTCGTCGTCGTCGTCGTCGTCGTCGTCGTCGTCGTCGTCGTCCGTCGTCTGGCGTAGTCATTCGCGCGTGCCCGTCCGCCCCCGTCCGTCGTCGACGTCATCGCCGCAGCCGCCACCGTCGTCGTCGTCGTCGTCGTCGCCGTCGTCGCCGTCGCCGTCGTCGTCGCCGTCGTTGCCATCGCCGCCGCCACCGCCGCCGCCGCCCCCACCTCTGACGCCGCCGCCGCCGCCGCTGCCGCCGCCGCCACCGTCGTCGTCGTTCGTCCGTCCCCGTCCGCCTCCGTCCTTCGTCGCCGTCATCGCCGCCGCCGCCACCGTTGTCGTCGTCGTCGTTGTCACCGCCGCCGTCGTCGTCGACGCCGTCGTCGTCGTTGCCGTTGACGCCGCCGCCGCCGCGGCCGCCGCTAACGCCCCCACCGCCGCCGCCACCGCCGCCATCGTCGTCGTCGTCTTCTTCATATTATTATTCGCCTTCTTCTTCTTCTTCCTCCTCCTCTTGCTCCTTATTCTTCTTCTTCTTCTTCGTCGTCGTCGTCGTCGTCGTCGTCGTCGTCGTCGTCGTCGTCCGTCGTCCAGCGCAGCCGTTCGTCCGTCCCCGTTTGCATCCAAAGGCGTCGCCGTCATCGCCGCCGCCACCGTCGTCGTCGTTGTCGTCGTCGTCGTCGTCGCCCGTCGTCTGGCGTAGTCGTTTGTCCGTCCCTGCACGTCCCCGAAAGTCGTCGCCGTCATCGCCGCCGCCGCCACCATCGTCGTCGTCGTCGTCGTCGCCGTCGCCGTCGTCACCGTCGCCGCCGTCACCGTCGCCGTCGTCACCACAATCGTCGTCGTCGTCGCCGCCGCCGCCGTCGCCGCAGCTGCAACCGCTGACGCCGCCGTCGTCGTCATCGTCGTCGTCGGCGTCGTCGTCCGTCGTCTGGCGTAGTCGTTCGTCCGTCCCCGTCCGCCCCCGTCCGTCGAAAACGTCATCGCGGCCGCCGCCACCGTCGTCGTCGTCGCCGCCGCCGTCGCCGACGCCGTCGCCGTCGTCCTCGTCGTCGCCGTTGCCGTCGCCGCCGCCGACGCCTCCGACACCGCTGCCGCCGCCGCCGCCGCCGCAGTCGTCGTCGTCATCGTCTTCGTCGTCGTCGTCGTCGTCGTCGTCCGTCGTCCTGCGTAGTCGTTCGTCTGTCCCCGTCCGCCCCCGCCCCCCCCGTCGTCGCCGTCATCGCCGCCACCGCAGCAGTGGTCGTCGTCGTCGAAGTCGCAGTCGTCGCCGACGCCGCCGCCGTCGCCATCGCCGTCGTCATCGCCGTTGCCGTTGCCGCAGCCGCCGCCGCTGCCACCTCTGCCGCAGTCGTCGTCGTTGTCGTCGCCACCGCCGTCGTCGTCGTCGTCGTCGTCGTCGTCTTTGTTGTCCTCGTCGTCGTCGTCGTCGGTCGAATGGCGTAGTGGTTCGTGCGTCCCCGCTTGCTCCCGTCCGTCGTCGCCGTCATCGCCGCCGCCGCCACCGTCGTCGTCGTCGTCGTCGTCGTCGTCGTCGTCGTCCGTCGTGGTCGCATTCGTCGCCGCCGCCGCCGTCGCCGCCGCAGTCACTCCTGCCGCCGCCGCCGCCGCTGCCGCCACCACAGTCGTCGTCGTCGTCGTCGTCGTCGTCGTCGTCGTCCGTCGTCTGGCGTAGTCGTTCGTCCGTCCCCGTCCGCCCCCGTCCGTCGTCGCCGTCATCGCCGCCGCCGCCCCCGTCATCGTCATCGTCATTGTCGCCGTCGCCGTCGTCGCCACCGCCGCCGTCGCCGACGCCGTCGTCGTCGCCGTCGCCGTTGCCGTCGTCGCCACCGCCACCGTCGCCGTCGTCGTCGTCGTCATCATCGTCGTCGGCGTCGCCGTCGCCGTCGTCGTCGTCCAGCGTAGTCGTTCGTCCGTCTCCGTCCGCCCCCGTCCGTCGTCGCCGTCATCGCCGCCGCCGCCGTCGCCGCCGTCGTCGTCGTCGTTGTCGTCGTCGCCGCGACCGCCGTCGCCGTCGCCGTAGCCGACGTCATCGTCGTCGTCGCCGTTGCTGTCGCCAGCGCTACCGCCGCAACCGCTGCCGCCGCCGCCGCCGCCGCCGCCGCCGTCGTCGTCGTCGTCGTCGTCGTCGTCGTCGTCGTCGTCGTCGTCGTCGTCGTCGTCGTCGTCGTCCGTCGTCTGGCGTGGTGGTTCGTCCGCCCCCGTCCGCCCCCGTCCGTCGTCGCCGTCATCGCCGCCGCCGCCCCCGGCGTCGTCATCGTCGTCGTCGTCGCCGTCGTCGCCACCGCCGCCGTCGTCGTCGTCGTCGTCGTCGTCTTCGTCGTTGTCGTCGTCGCCCGTCGTCCGGCGTAATCGTTCGTCCGTCCCCGCCCGACCCCGTGCGTCTGTCCGTCCGCCGCCGCCGTGTCTGTTCTGCCGTCCGTCGTCCTTCGCCCGTCGTCGTCGCGGTCACAGTCGCCTGCTGAGTGTCCTCCGCCGTTCGTCCGGCCCCAAGATCGGCCTCCTCTGGCTCGCCCGTCTCGGCCGCGGCCGCGCCTCCGAATCTGACCACCCGCTGGATGCTCATCCCGTCGCCCGCCCTGTCGGCCTCGGGCGCAGGCAGGGCCCCGCAACCCTGGGCCTCCAAGCCGAGACCCCCCGCTCCGCCTGCTGGCGGTCTGGGGCTCTGAGCTGGATAGGCCTAGAGAAGAGCGGTCAAGAGGAGGGACGCAGGCAAATTCACGCAAACTCGGTCCCCAGACCCTTCCCAGGGTCGAAACTGACAAGCGGTTGGAGCCGCGTCCAGCTGCGGTGACGAAAAGGCCGCCTTCTCCCCCCTTTCTGCCGGCTGGAACCTATGCTAGGCCACATCAGCCCCCCAGGCGGCTGCAACCTCCCCGCGCCGGTGAAAAACAACGACGGACGGTTAGGAGGCAACTCCTGGGAGGTCTTCGCAAGAACGATTCAAGGATGTCGGCCCGATGAAGGGGCCAGCATGCCAGACTAATCCCAAGATTTAGTCATATTAAGACGGACTGAAGCCGTCTTTGACAACGGATCTACCAGCGCCGATGATGAATTGAATATGACCCAGGAGGTGCATCCTAAGCGAGGAGGGTGGTTGAGACTTTGCGGGCTCTGGGGGCCGTCACTATGCCCCGGAACGGCCCTGGGCGAAAAAGAAATACTGCCGGGGAAGTAGACCGGCGTCGGGAGTCTGAGGACGCGCCCGGGACGACAGGGCCCCTGAAAGACCGCTTGGGCTTCAAAGATGTTCGCCGGTTGGCTTTTGTGGGCTCGGGGGCCTCCCTTCCTCGTCCCTCTCCCCGACCGTCCGGCCAGCCCGAAGCTGTCCGCAGCAGGTCATTTCGAAGCGAAGCCAGCCGCGGCAACGCGGGCGGCCCCACAGAACAAAGATCAACTCTAAAATTAGGTCGGGCATGTCCCCCTACAAGGCGGATTTTGAACGAGATTTATAAATAGTCAAAAAAAATACTTCCAAAGAACAAAGAATACTATTAAGAAAACGTCCCCATACGATTTCTTGACTATTGTTGGATATTCCTCCTGTAGAAGGACATGCCCAGCTTAACTCTAAAATCCAGGGATCGTCGTCGCACATTTCGCCGCCGCCCGCGCCGTCGTCGTCGTCGTCGCATTCGTCTGTCATGCGTCGTCGTCTGTCGTCGTCGTTCGCCGCGTATCGTCGCAATGGTCTCTGCCTTCCTCTTCCACTGCTCGTCGTCAGTCGGCGTCGACGGAGTTCCCCCGTCCCCGTCCATCTGTGTGTTCGCCGCCGCCGTCGCCGTCGTCGTCTGTCGTCCGTCCTTGTCGTCGTCGTCGTCGTCGCAGTCCGTCGCGCGCCGTCGTCGCCAGCCAACGTGCCGCAGCCGACGTCGTCGTCGTTGTCGCCGTCGTCGTCCGTTTTCGTGCCGTGCGTCAGTCCATCAGTCCGTCCGTCGCCACTGTCGCCACCGTCGTCCGTCATCACATGTAGTACGCCGTCGCCGTCGCCGTCGGTCGTCAGTCGTCGCCGCTTGCGTCCGCCGCCGCCGCCGTTATCGTCGTCGTCGCCATCGTCGTCGTCGTCGTCGTCCGTCGTCCGGCGTAGTCGTTCGTCCCTCCCCGTCCTCCCCCGTCCGTCGTCGCCGTCATCGCCACCGCCGCCACCGTCGTCGTTGTCGTTGTCGTCGTTGTCGTCGCCGTCGTCGCCGCTGCAGCCGTAGCCGTCGCGGTCGTCGTCGCCGTCGCCGTTGCCGTCGCCACGGCCGCCGCGGCCGCCACCGCTGCCGCAGCCGCCGCCGCCGCAGTCGTCGTCGTCGTCGCCGCCGCCGCCGTCGTCGTCGTCGTCGTCGTCGTCGTCGTCGTCGTCGTCGTCGTCGTCGTCGTCGTCGTCGTCGTCGTCGTCGTCCGTCGTCTGGCGTAGTCATTCGCGCGTGCCCGTCCGCCCCCGTCCGTCGTCGACGTCATCGCCGCAGCCGCCACCGTCGTCGTCGTCGTCGTCGTCGCCGTCGTCGCCGTCGCCGTCGTCGTCGCCGTCGTTGCCATCGCCGCCGCCACCGCCGCCGCCGCCCCCACCTCTGACGCCGCCGCCGCCGCCGCTGCCGCCGCCGCCACCGTCGTCGTCGTTCGTCCGTCCCCGTCCGCCTCCGTCCTTCGTCGCCGTCATCGCCGCCGCCGCCACCGTTGTCGTCGTCGTCGTTGTCACCGCCGCCGTCGTCGTCGACGCCGTCGTCGTCGTTGCCGTTGACGCCGCCGCCGCCGCGGCCGCCGCTAACGCCCCCACCGCCGCCGCCACCGCCGCCATCGTCGTCGTCGTCTTCTTCATATTATTATTCGCCTTCTTCTTCTTCTTCCTCCTCCTCTTGCTCCTTATTCTTTTTCTTCTTCTTCGTCGTCGTCGTCGTCGTCGTCGTCGTCGTCGTCGTCGTCGTCGTCCGTCGTCCAGCGCAGCCGTTCGTCCGTCCCCGTTTGCATCCAAAGGCGTCGCCGTCATCGCCGCCGCCACCGTCGTCGTCGTTGTCGTCGTCGTCGTCGTCGCCCGTCGTCTGGCGTAGTCGTTTGTCCGTCCCTGCACGTCCCCGAAAGTCGTCGCCGTCATCGCCGCCGCCGCCACCATCGTCGTCGTCGTCGTCGTCGCCGTCGCCGTCGTCACCGTCGCCGCCGTCACCGTCGCCGTCGTCACCACAATCGTCGTCGTCGTCGCCGCCGCCGCCGTCGCCGCCGCTGCAACCGCTGACGCCGCCGTCGTCGTCATCGTCGTCGTCGGCGTCGTCGTCCGTCGTCTGGCGTAGTCGTTCGTCCGTCCCCGTCCGCCCCCGTCCGTCGAAAACGTCATCGCGGCCGCCGCCACCGTCGTCGTCGTCGCCGCCGCCGTCGCCGACGCCGTCGCCGTCGTCCTCGTCGTCGCCGTTGCCGTCGCCGCCGCCGACGCCTCCGACACCGCTGCCGCCGCCGCCGCCGCCGCAGTCGTCGTCGTCATCGTCTTCGTCGTCGTCGTCGTCGTCGTCGTCCGTCGTCCTGCGTAGTCGTTCGTCTGTCCCCGTCCGCCCCCGCCCCCCCCGTCGTCGCCGTCATCGCCGCCACCGCAGCAGTGGTCGTCGTCGTCGAAGTCGCAGTCGTCGCCGACGCCGCCGCCGTCGCCATCGCCGTCGTCATCGCCGTTGCCGTTGCCGCAGCCGCCGCCGCTGCCACCTCTGCCGCAGTCGTCGTCGTTGTCGTCGCCACCGCCGTCGTCGTCGTCGTCGTCGTCGTCGTCTTTGTTGTCCTCGTCGTCGTCGTCGTCGGTCGAATGGCGTAGTGGTTCGTGCGTCCCCGCTTGCTCCCGTCCGTCGTCGCCGTCATCGCCGCCGCCGCCACCGTCGTCGTCGTCGTCGTCGTCGTCGTCGTCGTCGGCCGTCGTTGGTCGCATTCGTCGCCGCCGCCGCCGTCGCCGCCGCAGTCACTCCTGCCGCCGCCGCCGCCGCTGCCGCCACCACAGTCGGTCGTCGTCGTCGTCGTCGTCGTCGTCGTCGTCCGTCGTCTGGCGTAGTCGTTCGTCCGTCCCCGTCCGCCCCCGTCCGTCGTCGCCGTCATCGCCGCCGCCGCCCCCGTCATCGTCATCGTCATTGTCGCCGTCGCCGTCGTCGCCACCGCCGCCGTCGCCGACGCCGTCGTCGTCGCCGTCGCCGTTGCCGTCGTCGCCACCGCCACCGTCGCCGTCGTCGTCGTCGTCATCATCGTCGTCGGCGTCGCCGTCGCCGTCGTCGTCGTCCAGCGTAGTCGTTCGTCCGTCTCCGTCCGCCCCCGTCCGTCGTCGCCGTCATCGCCGCCGCCGCCGTCGCCGCCGTCGTCGTCGTCGTTGTCGTCGTCGCCGCGACCGCCGTCGCCGTCGCCGTAGCCGACGTCATCGTCGTCGTCGCCGTTGCTGTCGCCAGCGCTACCGCCGCAACCGCTGCCGCCGCCGCCGCCGCCGCCGCCGCCGTCGTCGTCGTCGTCGTCGTCGTCGTCGTCGTCGTCGTCGTCGTCGTCGTCGTCGTCGTCGTCGTCCGTCGTCTGGCGTGGTGGTTCGTCCGCCCCCGTCCGCCCCCGTCCGTCGTCGCCGTCATCGCCGCCGCCGCCCCCGGCGTCGTCATCGTCGTCGTCGTCGCCGTCGTCGCCACCGCCGCCGTCGTCGTCGTCGTCGTCGTCGTCTTCGTCGTTGTCGTCGTCGCCCGTCGTCCGGCGTAATCGTTCGTCCGTCCCCGCCCGACCCCGTGCGTCTGTCCGTCCGCCGCCGCCGTGTCTGTTCTGCCGTCCGTCGTCCTTCGCCCGTCGTCGTCGCGGTCACAGTCGCCTGCTGAGTGTCCTCCGCCGTTCGTCCGGCCCCAAGATCGGCCTCCTCTGGCTCGCCCGTCTCGGCCGCGGCCGCGCCTCCGAATCTGACCACCCGCTGGATGCTCATCCCGTCGCCCGCCCTGTCGGCCTCGGGCGCAGGCAGGGCCCCGCAACCCTGGGCCTCCAAGCCGAGACCCCCCGCTCCGCCTGCTGGCGGTCTGGGGCTCTGAGCTGGATAGGCCTAGAGAAGAGCGGTCAAGAGGAGGGACGCAGGCAAATTCACGCAAACTCGGTCCCCAGACCCTTCCCAGGGTCGAAACTGACAAGCGGTTGGAGCCGCGTCCAGCTGCGGTGACGAAAAGGCCGCCTTCTCCCCCCTTTCTGCCGGCTGGAACCTATGCTAGGCCACATCAGCCCCCCAGGCGGCTGCAACCTCCCCGCGCCGGTGAAAAACAACGACGGACGGTTAGGAGGCAACTCCTGGGAGGTCTTCGCAAGAACGATTCAAGGATGTCGGCCCGATGAAGGGGCCAGCATGCCAGACTAATCCCAAGATTTAGTCATATTAAGACGGACTGAAGCCGTCTTTGACAACGGATCTACCAGCGCCGATGATGAATTGAATATGACCCAGGAGGTGCATCCTAAGCGAGGAGGGTGGTTGAGACTTTGCGGGCTCTGGGGGCCGTCACTATGCCCCGGAACGGCCCTGGGCGAAAAAGAAATACTGCCGGGGAAGTAGACCGGCGTCGGGAGTCTGAGGACGCGCCCGGGACGACAGGGCCCCTGAAAGACCGCTTGGGCTTCAAAGATGTTCGCCGGTTGGCTTTTGTGGGCTCGGGGGCCTCCCTTCCTCGTCCCTCTCCCCGACCGTCCGGCCAGCCCGAAGCTGTCCGCAGCAGGTCATTTCGAAGCGAAGCCAGCCGCGGCAACGCGGGCGGCCCCACAGAACAAAGATCAACTCTAAAATTAGGTCGGGCATGTCCCCCTACAAGGCGGATTTTGAACGAGATTTATAAATAGTCAAAAAAAATACTTCCAAAGAACAAAGAATACTATTAAGAAAACGTCCCCATACGATTTCTTGACTATTGTTGGATATTCCTCCTGTAGAAGGACATGCCCAGCTTAACTCTAAAATCCAGGGATCGTCGTCGCACATTTCGCCGCCGCCCGCGCCGTCGTCGTCGTCGTCGCATTCGTCTGTCATGCGTCGTCGTCTGTCGTCGTCGTTCGCCGCGTATCGTCGCAATGGTCTCTGCCTTCCTCTTCCACTGCTCGTCGTCAGTCGGCGTCGACGGAGTTCCCCCGTCCCCGTCCATCTGTGTGTTCGCCGCCGCCGTCGCCGTCGTCGTCTGTCGTCCGTCCTTGTCGTCGTCGTCGTCGTCGCAGTCCGTCGCGCGCCGTCGTCGCCAGCCAACGTGCCGCAGCCGACGTCGTCGTCGTTGTCGCCGTCGTCGTCCGTTTTCGTGCCGTGCGTCAGTCCATCAGTCCGTCCGTCGCCACTGTCGCCACCGTCGTCCGTCATCACATGTAGTACGCCGTCGCCGTCGCCGTCGGTCGTCAGTCGTCGCCGCTTGCGTCCGCCGCCGCCGCCGTTATCGTCGTCGTCGCCATCGTCGTCGTCGTCGTCCGTCGTCCGGCGTAGTCGTTCGTCCCTCCCCGTCCTCCCCCGTCCGTCGTCGCCGTCATCGCCACCGCCGCCACCGTCGTCGTTGTCGTTGTCGTCGTTGTCGTCGCCGTCGTCGCCGCTGCAGCCGTAGCCGTCGCGGTCGTCGTCGCCGTCGCCGTTGCCGTCGCCACGGCCGCCGCGGCCGCCACCGCTGCCGCAGCCGCCGCCGCCGCAGTCGTCGTCGTCGTCGCCGCCGCCGCCGTCGTCGTCGTCGTCGTCGTCGTCGTCGTCGTCGTCGTCGTCGTCGTCGTCGTCGTCGTCGTCGTCGTCGTCGTCCGTCGTCTGGCGTAGTCATTCGCGCGTGCCCGTCCGCCCCCGTCCGTCGTCGACGTCATCGCCGCAGCCGCCACCGTCGTCGTCGTCGTCGTCGTCGCCGTCGTCGCCGTCGCCGTCGTCGTCGCCGTCGTTGCCATCGCCGCCGCCACCGCCGCCGCCGCCCCCACCTCTGACGCCGCCGCCGCCGCCGCTGCCGCCGCCGCCACCGTCGTCGTCGTTCGTCCGTCCCCGTCCGCCTCCGTCCTTCGTCGCCGTCATCGCCGCCGCCGCCACCGTTGTCGTCGTCGTCGTTGTCACCGCCGCCGTCGTCGTCGACGCCGTCGTCGTCGTTGCCGTTGACGCCGCCGCCGCCGCGGCCGCCGCTAACGCCCCCACCGCCGCCGCCACCGCCGCCATCGTCGTCGTCGTCTTCTTCATATTATTATTCGCCTTCTTCTTCTTCTTCCTCCTCCTCTTGCTCCTTATTCTTTTTCTTCTTCTTCGTCGTCGTCGTCGTCGTCGTCGTCGTCGTCGTCGTCGTCGTCGTCCGTCGTCCAGCGCAGCCGTTCGTCCGTCCCCGTTTGCATCCAAAGGCGTCGCCGTCATCGCCGCCGCCACCGTCGTCGTCGTTGTCGTCGTCGTCGTCGTCGCCCGTCGTCTGGCGTAGTCGTTTGTCCGTCCCTGCACGTCCCCGAAAGTCGTCGCCGTCATCGCCGCCGCCGCCACCATCGTCGTCGTCGTCGTCGTCGCCGTCGCCGTCGTCACCGTCGCCGCCGTCACCGTCGCCGTCGTCACCACAATCGTCGTCGTCGTCGCCGCCGCCGCCGTCGCCGCCGCTGCAACCGCTGACGCCGCCGTCGTCGTCATCGTCGTCGTCGGCGTCGTCGTCCGTCGTCTGGCGTAGTCGTTCGTCCGTCCCCGTCCGCCCCCGTCCGTCGAAAACGTCATCGCGGCCGCCGCCACCGTCGTCGTCGTCGCCGCCGCCGTCGCCGACGCCGTCGCCGTCGTCCTCGTCGTCGCCGTTGCCGTCGCCGCCGCCGACGCCTCCGACACCGCTGCCGCCGCCGCCGCCGCCGCAGTCGTCGTCGTCATCGTCTTCGTCGTCGTCGTCGTCGTCGTCGTCCGTCGTCCTGCGTAGTCGTTCGTCTGTCCCCGTCCGCCCCCGCCCCCCCCGTCGTCGCCGTCATCGCCGCCACCGCAGCAGTGGTCGTCGTCGTCGAAGTCGCAGTCGTCGCCGACGCCGCCGCCGTCGCCATCGCCGTCGTCATCGCCGTTGCCGTTGCCGCAGCCGCCGCCGCTGCCACCTCTGCCGCAGTCGTCGTCGTTGTCGTCGCCACCGCCGTCGTCGTCGTCGTCGTCGTCGTCGTCTTTGTTGTCCTCGTCGTCGTCGTCGTCGGTCGAATGGCGTAGTGGTTCGTGCGTCCCCGCTTGCTCCCGTCCGTCGTCGCCGTCATCGCCGCCGCCGCCACCGTCGTCGTCGTCGTCGTCGTCGTCGTCGTCGTCGTCCGTCGTGGTCGCATTCGTCGCCGCCGCCGCCGTCGCCGCCGCAGTCACTCCTGCCGCCGCCGCCGCCGCTGCCGCCACCACAGTCGTCGTCGTCGTCGTCGTCGTCGTCGTCGTCGTCCGTCGTCTGGCGTAGTCGTTCGTCCGTCCCCGTCCGCCCCCGTCCGTCGTCGCCGTCATCGCCGCCGCCGCCCCCGTCATCGTCATCGTCATTGTCGCCGTCGCCGTCGTCGCCACCGCCGCCGTCGCCGACGCCGTCGTCGTCGCCGTCGCCGTTGCCGTCGTCGCCACCGCCACCGTCGCCGTCGTCGTCGTCGTCATCATCGTCGTCGGCGTCGCCGTCGCCGTCGTCGTCGTCCAGCGTAGTCGTTCGTCCGTCTCCGTCCGCCCCCGTCCGTCGTCGCCGTCATCGCCGCCGCCGCCGTCGCCGCCGTCGTCGTCGTCGTTGTCGTCGTCGCCGCGACCGCCGTCGCCGTCGCCGTAGCCGTCGTCATCGTCGTCGTCGCCGTTGCTGTCGCCAGCGCTACCGCCGCAACCGCTGCCGCCGCCGCCGCCGCCGCCGCCGCCGCCGTCGTCGTCGTCGTCGTCGTCGTCGTCGTCGTCGTCGTCGTCGTCGTCGTCGTCGTCGTCGTCGTCCGTCGTCTGGCGTGGTGGTTCGTCCGCCCCCGTCCGCCCCCGTCCGTCGTCGCCGTCATCGCCGCCGCCGCCCCCGGCGTCGTCATCGTCGTCGTCGTCGCCGTCGTCGCCACCGCCGCCGTCGTCGTCGTCGTCGTCGTCGTCTTCGTCGTTGTCGTCGTCGCCCGTCGTCCGGCGTAATCGTTCGTCCGTCCCCGCCCGACCCCGTGCGTCTGTCCGTCCGCCGCCGCCGTGTCTGTTCTGCCGTCCGTCGTCCTTCGCCCGTCGTCGTCGCGGTCACAGTCGCCTGCTGAGTGTCCTCCGCCGTTCGTCCGGCCCCAAGATCGGCCTCCTCTGGCTCGCCCGTCTCGGCCGCGGCCGCGCCTCCGAATCTGACCACCCGCTGGATGCTCATCCCGTCGCCCGCCCTGTCGGCCTCGGGCGCAGGCAGGGCCCCGCAACCCTGGGCCTCCAAGCCGAGACCCCCCGCTCCGCCTGCTGGCGGTCTGGGGCTCTGAGCTGGATAGGCCTAGAGAAGAGCGGTCAAGAGGAGGGACGCAGGCAAATTCACGCAAACTCGGTCCCCAGACCCTTCCCAGGGTCGAAACTGACAAGCGGTTGGAGCCGCGTCCAGCTGCGGTGACGAAAAGGCCGCCTTCTCCCCCCTTTCTGCCGGCTGGAACCTATGCTAGGCCACATCAGCCCCCCAGGCGGCTGCAACCTCCCCGCGCCGGTGAAAAACAACGACGGACGGTTAGGAGGCAACTCCTGGGAGGTCTTCGCAAGAACGATTCAAGGATGTCGGCCCGATGAAGGGGCCAGCATGCCAGACTAATCCCAAGATTTAGTCATATTAAGACGGACTGAAGCCGTCTTTGACAACGGATCTACCAGCGCCGATGATGAATTGAATATGACCCAGGAGGTGCATCCTAAGCGAGGAGGGTGGTTGAGACTTTGCGGGCTCTGGGGGCCGTCACTATGCCCCGGAACGGCCCTGGGCGAAAAAGAAATACTGCCGGGGAAGTAGACCGGCGTCGGGAGTCTGAGGACGCGCCCGGGACGACAGGGCCCCTGAAAGACCGCTTGGGCTTCAAAGATGT